GGTTCTTCGGGACCTAATACGTCGTAGCTGTTCATCTCCGCTTCATCATATAGTTCACGTCCCGGCGGGTTGATCAGTCTAGATCCCCACGCCGAGTGTTTCGCATTTAGGTCCCCTGCTATAATGGTAGGTGTTTCACCTTCCATTATTGTCCGGATGTCTGAGGAGCAAAATGGAGTCCCTGGCGGGTGGTATGCTGCGTAGATCCTTAAATACTCGCCGGCCGCCTCCATTTTTATGTCGATCGAGAGCATAGTCCGATATTGAGGTGGTTCCAGCTCTAGGTGGACGATGGCTCCCCTCACCAGCCACGCAGCCACCGTGCCTCTGTAGGCGGCTCCTTGAGCGTTGACCACGTCCCTACTGTATACATGATAGTTTGGCAGCCTTATGCGCGTAGACAGTCTTAATTTCGTCTCACCCAGCAGTATCACATGTATGTCTTGCTGTTGGGCGACAGTGCGGAGTTCATGCAGCTTTTGCTGGATTCCATCCGGATTCACAATTTTATTTATAATAATCACACACAAAGTGTTATTATTATGACATACATTACATCATTATCACCTGAAAACATATTAAGTTATTCAACAAAATATACCATTTTACAGGACATTTTCAAAGTTAGAAATCTTAAATATCTAACACACAAGGTTAAAATAACAATCTTTATAAATAAACATGAATGGAATGAAAAGGAATGAAAATGATAAAATATTTTAAGCGCGTCGCCAACATGTAGATATCATATAGTATAGTAAGAATAATAGTGTTGTGAAGAACTTAAATGAAAAAAAAATATGTTATATATTGTAGAATAAAGAAGTTCCTTTGAATACATAGTATTTTATTTATTCATACCCGTCTCCATGCATGCAATAATATGAAGGGCTATTTTTGGCATAAGCTGGAGTCGGTTTGGTAGATTTTGGCAGATTTTTTTCCTGTGTGTGGCGAATTTGCCATGTTTGAGATGGTCACACTGCCTATAAATGTGACATATCTCTATGGTGACAGCATACAGTATAGTGCCACCAACTTATCTGTGAACTGACAGCTTGCCGCTTTTGCGCTGAAGTGTTGCCACTTCGGGAATATTCCCATCTAGGGGTCTTATATTCCTACATAGAGTCCACATACTAGGGTAATAAATTAGTCACGGAATATAAAGACTAGAACACAGATTTAACAGATATATGTCCAAGAACAAGAAGAAACAAAAATATCATAATTGAACAATTTAAACTTTAATTAAATAATATGCCTTTATGCCTTTTTTACCGGGCGTTGTGATTTGCGTTCCTGTGGTTTATGCGGTTTCCGGTTCTTAAACTATTTTGGAAATGAATCCTTGACTAACATCTGAAAAAGAAATGAATTGCATTAACCAATCCATTTATCGGAAATACGAAAGGAAGGAACAAAACATAGCAATACTGACCTGTAGCAGCTGATACTCTTTTATAGACCTGATTGAAAGGCAGTATCGGTGCTTACCCTCGAGCTTCTTGCTCACAAAAGTTTAATACTTAAAAAATAATGTTTCGGGCATCACTTTTAATGGTTTTCGGCATTTTTTATTTTTCTATAAACTCTCAAAACAATGACGTATCGAGTGACATTTGATTAAATGGCGGTTGTAGTTCACAATTTTGCCGCAGCTGTCAGTTCACAGATAAGTTGGTGGGACTATAATGTATGATGACAGCTATAGATGTGCCAACTCGGAAAATTTACAACTCGAGTTAACTCGAGTTGAAATTCACGCAACTCGAGTTTGAATTCGAGTTAGCAGTACGAAACAGAGTAAATGATTTGTTACAAATTACTTTTTATAAATTTGTTTATCTAGCTCTTTGGCGAGTTGGGATAATCATAATTACCAAACTTATTATGTAGGATTGAAATAAAAAGGTATATTTAGTATGTATCGCATACTTATGTATATTTGATTTTAATCTTAGTCACAGTGAGTACTTGTATTTAACAACAATACTAGCTATGTAGCAGTCTTCACGAAACAAAATTAGTCTAGCTTTAAGATATGGGTACATAAACTATTAATATTTTAACTATCACAGTTAAAATATTCAGAACTAAATTCAATTTTTTTTTAATTAAAATATTTATTGTAAGTTAAGAGTTACAATGGGTCTGACAAAGGTTTTTTACTTTACATGCCAATAAAAATCTACAAAATAATACGAGAAAAACTGTGTTTTTACTTTTTTCATATCTTAAAAATTGGCTGAGATATTAACGATCAAAGTGCGTGTTTCCCAGCGAAGATTTTTAAAAACACGGGCGGGCGCTCATTAACGGATGACGTCACACTCCCGCTCATACAACAAACGCGCTCTCGTATGCACACCGCTGCGCAGTAAAAATCAGAATTTTCAAGTTCTCTGTGGTAAAAATGGAAAACAAATATTGTATTGTGCCTCATGGCTTCAATTCAACAGTTAAAACACCTGATAAACGCTTTTTTTATGTGCCTGAGGACCCATAAATGAGGGAGTCTATTCAATAGGCCCTAAAACTAAAGCGCACTGTTGTGAAGACCATTTCGATATAAGTATTTTTTGTAAGTAATAAGCTGATCCTTCTTCTCTACCTATCCTTGTCCTACTAAACATATACTTACTTGTCTACTTTGATTGTTTAGATAGAAAGGTATCTTGCCAAAGTTGCCAACTACCTAGCACCTAGTAGCAGCGCAGTGCAGTGCACCTCAACCGACTGTATTGGCGGGCCACAATATACACATATGGCAAAATATACATAAATATAATATATTTTCTTCCTACTACAATATCAAACTCGCGGCCCGATGTCAGAAGTATCAAACTCGCAGCGCGCATTTATCCTTAGTTTTCGTTGTATTTTTTTAACGATAGCAACGTACATACATTAAACATGGTTTATATTTAGTTTTCGAAACGTACGTGTTTTACTGTACTATTAGAACGGTTTAACCGATTTAGACAAAAGATGTCTATGAACCACTATTAAAAAAACAATAAATACAAAATAAAAAAAACAACACGGTTCACCCATTTATGAGCTATAATACTACAAATATACCGACACACAGACAGACATATAGACACACAGGCATACATAGCGGTCAAACTTATAACACCCCTCTTTTTGCTTCGGGCATTAATAAATAACCAATAAAAATGGTAAGTAAAAATTTGCGACCCACAAGTTAATCAGCACAGATTTTTTTAAATGTTTTAATTTAAAAAACTGTAAATTAATAAACTAAAGCGAGCATTGGATAAAATTAATAAAAAAATAGGTAAGTATCTGTTTTAGTATAACAATAGAACAATAAGTACCTATTTGCCTAGTTAGAAAACTGATAACTACGTAAATACCTAGGTAGTAGGACTTACCCACATCTATTATATGGTATATGGGTAAATATTGACATTTTCTGTAAGTTTAAACTAATAAAACACACAAAATAATCATCGTTAAACTCGAAATGTGGATTACGAGTAGGTACCTAGTATTTTTTATCGCCACCCATATTAGGTAAGTATTAAATGAAACACAAACTTTCGATTAGGTTTAAGTTTGTACAAATACTTACATAGGTATTTGTTCAAACTTAAGCCTAATGCTTACCGAGGAGAGTAGGTACCTAATGCTTACTTAGAACATAGGTACGTACCTTTTCATCTTTATTTCACGAATTTCAGTAGCCGTTAAATCCTGATTCTCCATGAAATATTGTGCCACCGTTAAACTATCCACTCTTGGCAGATTGTCGGACTGTCCTTTTATAAAACCTTCTATTCTAGTACTACACGTTCCACTTTAGTGTAATCGGATTTAGAGGATAATATTATTTAATTTTTATTTAATAGCACAAACACTATAAGTAGTAGGAATACAAAGACGATCGAAAGAAAATGAAACAAGACCCGCGGTAATTTGGTCAAGCGACACAAACGCCCGTGTGACGTCATAGTGGGAGCGCGCGTAATCTCTGAAATTCAAAAAGGGGTTAACTTCTCGTCGTTATAACTTCGGAAATACTGCATGTATTGAAGTGAAATAAAAACTAATGTAATGTACATGATCTTTGCTACGATTTTAATAGTATTTGGTAGTAAAAGTTTGACCTTTTTGTGTCCCCCATTGGTGTTAATTTAAAATATGGTGTATCTTACAACTGAACCATCCTTTTCGGTTATTATAATAATAGGTCTTTGACTTACATAACTTTATTGATCATAAACCCTTCAAAATTATAAAAGAATTTAAATTACATAACTTAGCTATTATAAAATACTAAATAACAATTTGTTTTGGTTGTAGTTAAATACTCCTTAAAACACAAAGCGCGCACACAGTGGTAGAGCCACGCGGCAGCTTTTGCTGTCGCACGGATGGGCCGGCTCGAACCGGGGTGGTACCACGACCTCACAGAATACCAGCGTGAAGTAGAGGTTTACCTCTGCGTTTCGTTTGGTGAGTGCAGGTGGCCGGAGGCCTTTTTTACTGGAAATGAGGCATTCCATCTTAGTGCTCACGGGTGACAACGCATCTGCATTTTGATTAGCAAACGAGGATAGATGTAGATGTCTATGGGCCGCAGCAACCACTTACCATCAGGTGGACTGTGTGCTCGTTTGTCACCCTTATCCTATAAAAAAAAAACACAACGAACGAAACTCTTTTGCTGGCTCACTTGATTCGTTCATGTACAGCAGCCCAAACTCGAGTTAGGGAGATCCAACTCGAGTTAACTCGAGTTAGTAACTCGAGTTGACACATTACTAGTGACAGCTGTCAAAATCAATAAGTTTTTAGATTTGGATTGGACGGATTTGGAGTACAATATTATTGTTGTGTTTCTGTTTCTGTGCTTTTCTGAGTTTTGTTTTCCTTCTAATGTTTTAATATTTATATTTTCGATGTAGTAATGGTTAATTATATTAACTGTGAATAATTGTAGTACCTTTTAAATTAATATAACTGGTAAAATGTGTACCGTGGAACAAATCGCTGATTGTGGAGATATTTTAAGTTTGGGACGATCTCTTTTTATTCCTGAAAAAGAAGGTCAGTTTGATTACTTCTAACATTTAATTTGTTTTCTGTTCTTTTGATAAAATAATCAAACCTCTTTTTTATAATTTTAGATAAAAATTGGCTTTCGCAGTGTTCTGTTTCACTGTCATCGTGTGGTAATTTGTTAGCCGTGGGGTTTAGAAATCGTCTTTGTCTTCTCACAACTCAGTGGATTAGTGCAAATGAGAGTAATACATTTTTAATATCGTGGAGTGGTACATTGCCTGGGGAAATAAGTGCCATTTTAGCCTTACCTATTTGCCCATCGCAACAATCTTCACAGGTTTGCAATAATAGGAAACATGTCTTAAATTTGTTAGTTATTATATAACAATTAAAGTAGAAACATATTTATCATTATTTTCAGAATGGACCTGATTGGTTTTGTATTATAGTTGGATTTCATAATGGGAGTATAGGATTTTATACAAATACTGGTCATTTATTATTGCTTGAAAAACTTGACGAGAAACCTGTAATGAGGATATCATGTCACACTGGAACATTTGGCACTTTACCAGATGATATTCATATACTATATCAAGGCTGTATCTGCATTTTGTCTGGTTCTAGCTTATTTCAAACACTCCGCAATGCTAAAGCTCAGTTAGCTCGAGGTGAGTAATTTGAGTGTCTTGTTTCAGTAATTTTAATAACATAATACAATTAATAACAATTAATTTGAATAATAGAGGCTTCTATGGTTCCTATGGTGCCACGATTTGAAGGATTCGCTTAGATCTCGTTGAGATACACCGAATTTTTTTTTTCAATATCTGTCTTATTTTTCGAGATATTGATAGTGAAAAATCAAATACTAAAATTGAATTAGCATGCCCCGACTCCACATTGTCTTGTCTACCCTACTCCTAGAGCGTTTTTGTAAAGCTGTAGGCATACAGGGAGAGCAGCCATAGCCCGCTGTAGCAAATAACAGGCACCTGTGCAAGCCGTAGCTGTCGAAGGAGACAAATAAGCCAAAGCTGCGAAGGTGAGCAGGGTGCCTGGGATTTGCTACGCTAGGGCGAAGGGGCTGCACACAGCACCGAAGCCGTTGTAGAAGTAACTTTGGGTAAAAAAGTAATTTTTGAGTATTGATATCTCGGAAACTAAGTGAGATACAGAAAAATTATATTCTTACTTTTTGTCGAGATTTATTCGAATCTACCTACAAATTATGACGCTGTAAGAACCGTAGTCGTACCGAATAATATAATACTGCTGGACAGTCAAAACCATAATATTTATGATATTGGGTAATTTTACATGAGACGTAAAACTAAATTACTATGTGCAGTAATAATAATATTTTGTCAGGTAATTCAGTTGCATTGTTCTAGGATAAGTATTTTTATCTATATTTTTTCTACATAAGTATCTACCACATGTAAGCTAGAGTGTCCACTTTTTTAATTAATTTTATCATTGTTAAGATTTAAGGTAGTTAAATAACACTGAGCAATTGTTGCCATTATCTTTCTGTTTTTATTAATCTCATTTATTAAACAGTGTTGAATATTATTATGTTCATTGATACACAACATATTAATTGTAACAGCATGACAATTTGATTAGGAATAAGCTAGGATTACTTCACACAGTTTCTTTATAGCTTGCGCCATCTTGATTATTATTACTCAACATTGCATTATTTATTATTGTGTAATGTGTAATGTATAATTGTGTAATTTGGAAAGAGGTAAAACTTTTGCACGCACCTAATAATTTAACATTAGGCGGATTAAGTTTATAATGAAAATTTATCATAAATAGCCAGGAAAGTCACTTCTACTACTCAAATAATATTGTATGAAGTTGCTGCAATATTTTAAACTCTTAAAATAACTGACAGCAAATACCCAGTATCACAGGCAAAGCATAAAACTTACGATAAATGTTAGACGTGGCCTCTTAGCCCAGTGGTCTTGCTATTCTTAGCTGTGGTTGCAGCCATGGTAACTGTGGGGCAGGGGATGCTTAGAATTTCTGGTGGTTTTTATGCCGCCTAAAACAACTTGAAGTGTAATACACCGACAACTGATGAGACGATCCTGAAAAAAGAGATTGGCAGGTTGCGTTTGGATAGTTGCCTTCTCCAGTCAGTAGCCATATTTACCTTAGTGGTTGCAGTTGAGAATAGACCTTAACGAATTTTATCATAGCGAAGAAACACGGCCATCAAAATCTGCATAATCAATGCGTTACGAGTCTCAAATGAAGTGCTTTCCCACAAACAGTTTGCAATATCAGGAATAAAATCTTACAGAGAGAGTGAATCTTTAAAATCTTAAAAAATCATCAACCTAAAATCTTTTTGTGTTAATTGCATTTTTACTACTGATGACGAACTCCAACTTGTGATAAAAGCAATAACTGTCATGCCAAAAATTATTTTAATGAATATATTAAGGATTACTTATGTTTTAAAAACTGTAAACTGTCTTTACGTGTAAAATTACCGCTCTGCAGTACTTGCCATTTCAAATCAAAATAAGTTTTGTTTGGCTAAGAATTCTAATTTCAAATTAATTTTATTTTAAAAATGGATTTCTTTTTGGTACTAATTGGAAGTAAAGACTTTAGAAATGAGTTAGGGGGTGGCTCGAACTTTAGGCCTAGTGAGTTTGAATAGTATATCATGTAGAGGATGTCATGAAGGTCATGGTTGAATAGGGCAAAAGGTTCTCATTACACTCCTATTGGTTCAAAATGGGCAAATACCCAAAAAATTGGGGGGTGGCTCAAACTTTAGGCATAGTCAGTTTTAATAGCCTATCATGTGGAGGATATCATGGGGGTCATGGTTGAATAGGGGCAAAAAGTTCTCATTACACTCCTAGGGGGTCAAATAGCCAAAAGCCAAAAAAAATTAAATATTCTTATTTCGGCTATAACTCCGTCTACTTCGGAGGTTCTTACACAGTCTTTACTTCCCACATCCCACTTGTTACAAAATTAGTCATTTGTTTATTCATTAGCGTTATGTTTTCATCGCATTTAAATATCTTTCGTCATCAAGGATATGTTAAAAATTAGAGTAATTATGGAATATGAGTACCGTCGTGGCAGCAACGACGTTTACGGAACGAATTCTACAAACGAATGTACCAACTTTTATTGGTTTGTCCGCTTCCGTTTTAGAAATTTCGACCTAAAAAATGAACCTCGTGGTCGTAAGAAAACTTTGGTCGACAATGACGAATTAAAGGCGATTGTGGAAGCTGATGATACTCAATCTATGGCTGAATTAGTAGCAGCTTTCGATGTTCATCATCAAATACATCATACATCAAAACAATATTGGTCCATTTGCGTCAAATTGCCAAGGTAAAAAAGCTTGACAAATGGGTGCTCCACGAACTCAATGATCGCCAGCGCGAAGTAGGCGTCGAGACGTGCCTTGCACTACTCAGGCACACAAACGACGGAATTTTGAACCATATTCTGTTTGACAATCGCAATCGCTTAGCAAGTTGGTTGGATCCTGGTTCAGCACCTAAACAATGCCCTAAACGAAAACTTACTCCTAGAAAAGTGATGGTCACTGTTTGGTGGTCTAGCGCCGGTGTGATTCATCACAACTTCTTACCAAACTAGATGAGCATTACTATGAAGGAACTGAACACAATGATGGAGAAGCTCGCACGTCTCCAACCAGCTTTGGTCAATCGCTCCTCCCCGCTGGCGGACTTTTTGGCGGGAAAAAAATCAATAGCCGAGAGGCAGTACAAAATGACTGAAGAAGTTTTTGACTCCCGTCCAGCAGATTTCTTCAAGAAGAGCATCAATATACTGCCACTGCGTTAGCAAAAATGCATTGATTGCATGGGTGATTACTTTGATTAATAGAAATAAAGAAAAAAAATTACATTAACTTATTTTATAAGAAACTGTAATTTCATAGCTTGTAAACACCTAATATAACTAACATTCAAAATTCACTTTATTTTTTCACAGAGCTTTTTGACGTTCTGATGTAAGGGATCACCATCAGCTTTTGAATATTATTTTGCTCTTTTGTTTCGGTTATCGAGCCTGATTTGCCTGTTGTCTGTGTGTTGCATGTTGGACCATAAAGGAGCTTTCTTTCTTCTGTTACCAGTTCCCTCATTTGTTCCGATTTCGCATCGCGTCGCATAGCTTTAACCTCAAATTGACGGTGGCCTCATGGTACACTTGCTCGAACTTCGACGTTCTGAATCAACAAAAGTCAGTCATCTCCATGGCAGACGGTGCTTATACAAATACGTGACGAACTAGCCGCTCTATCTCATAAGTTGAATTAATTGGCCTCTAAAAAGCTTGGCGTGCTCAGCAGAGCGGGACAGTATTTCATGCCGGCAAAACGCCTGCAACTTTACAAGGCGCAGGTTCGGCCTCACATGGAATACTGTTCCCAACTCTGGGCTGGGGCTCCCCAGTGCCAACTCCTTCCAATTGACCGCATCCAGTGTAGAGGGGCTCGAATCATCGACGACCGAGTCCTTTCCGATCGGCTTGATTCATTGGCGCTGAATGCATTTTCTTTCGCATTTACCATGGGGAGTGCTCTGAGGAATTGTTCGGATTAATCCCAGCCGCCAAATTTCACGGACGCACATCGCGGCAGAACTCCGAATACCATCCACACCATCTGGATGATTGGCGGTCCACCACTATGCGATTTAGAAGATGTTTTCTTTCTCGCACAACTTCCTTGTGGAATCGATTACTACCAGCGATTTTTCCGGACCGATACGACTTAGAGGTCTTCAAGAAAAGAGCCAACTCCTTTTTAAAAGGCCGGCAACGCATCTGCAATTCCCCTGGTTCGCCTGGTGTTGCAGTTACCATCCGGTGAGCCGCATGCTCGTTTGCCCCCTCGTATAAAAAAAGTCCATTGTTAGAGTGTTTCCGTAGATGTTTGAACACGATTTTGTAACTGAATTTGTCTGGGCTTCCAACTGAACGCTCCAAGAACTTATGCTACTGGCATCCGTTATAAAGTAGGTTGGGGATGATCTCTTCGTGCTAAGGTTAATGCTGTAAATACTTGTTCTTCACTACTATCACTGCCCGGGCAGAGGATGTTAAACTGATACCTAAGGTAAGGAGTCCATGATAATGTCCCGTCAAAACGCGTTAAATCATATTTGCCTGATGTCAGTGCCGCTGTAACCTGGACAGACTTTCAATTTTTGAAAATCCCCAGAGATTGCTCGAAGAGTCTGTTTTAAGTGTTTCAGCTTTAAATACACATTCTGTCATTTATTTTTCTACCGTTTTTATTTTACCACTGAGCATCTAAAACCTTGTGAGAAACGGATGGCAAATGAATTCCTGTAGTTCTAGACGGGCGCCTATCAGTTCTTGCTGAGCGGTTTCCTGCTCCTGCCGAGCGATTTCCTGGTCCCGCTGAGCAGCTTCCAGTTCCTGGTGAATATCTTCATGTTCTTGCCGAGCGGATGCCAGTTCTTGACGAACAGCTTCCTGTTGCTGGAGTGTGATTTTCTTATTTGTCTGTAATTGACTTTGAATTGCAGCCAATAATGCAACCAGGTTGCCGTCTATTGCTGACCGTGATGGAGTGACTGCTGTAGGAATTGATTCGGAGTCAGCACAGTATGACCCATCGACTCTTGTTCTCGTGTTGCCGTGCAGCATCCATCTCGGCTTGCGTCTTGGTGCGTGGAGTATGCTTTTCTTCATTTCGTGGTAATATCGGCATTCCACTTCTAAAAACAGGTCTTATATGTGAGCGAGTAAAAACGTTGATAAGGATGAGAAATGGACGTATTTCCACACACATAGCAAATCTACAATCACGTTGTTCAAAATCGCAAAGTATCTTCTGAGAGGTTCTTAATAATCGCAGATTTCGAAAGTCGATTGCTCGTAGTCGCATCCCGGGGCTCTACCAAGACTACACTGCTCTACGACAACGGAATAATGGCCAATGGCAACATCTGTCACAAGTGTGTGCGGCAGGTGTTGCTACTAGCAAAATTTTTATTTTGATATAATTATGAAATAAAAACAACTACAATACCCAAAACATCTTAATTCTAAGTGTATTTTATGCAATTGTATAATATGCAATTTTGAATAATTTTTATATTACTATGTTTTCTTATTTACTAACCTCACAGAAGTAAACTCCGTACAATTAGTTTGGGAATGGTTCTAACATTATATAATTTGGCAAAAACTTTGATTTCTGAGCATATTTGTTAAGTTTTTTTTCTAGGAAACTGACCTGATAATATAGTAAGCAACCTGTATAGAACAAACTTGTGCAGTTTGTTTCTTTTTTGGGTCGTTTAAGTGTCATTTATCATCCCAGGCTAGCAAGTCTTAAATGGGTAATTTTTACTTGGCATATTAAGACGGCTAACGACACTCAACGAGTAACACTCGAGAGGATACAAAATTCATAAAGTATTTTCGATTTCAAATTTATCAATAAAATCAATTGATAGTTATGCACATAAACAGATAAATTAATAATTATAGATCTATTGCGAAATATAAAAAATAATGTAAGAATATAATTAATAAATTATAGTGCAGGCTGGTGTTCAAGATGATTATGTTGTGGACAGTCGCAGTATAAATATTAGAAAATGGGCATTTTCTGATCAAGAGTCAATTAATGATGCAGCAGTTGTGGGCCTTGAACTCAAAAACACATTTGATCACTTTTTGGCTGCTTCGACGTATGGAGGCTATGATACTTGGTATGCAAACAAATTTATCAGATCAACCTCGACCAATTTTAGAATATTTCCATCGTTTATAATGTACAATGATTGTTTTTTTTTTATATAAAGTTAACGAGTACACTTAAGAAATACAATATGCCTTGGAATCTTCATTCCAATTTGTATATGTGTAATTTATGTAAATTTGCATGCTATCACAATCACATAGCAAAACATATTGTGCTTTAAGAATTGTACCATCCTTATCTGTCCATGTTTTATGCAAATATATGAAATAAATAAATAAATAAATAGTAAAGATTAGAAAAGTAGGACACCTACATTGACAACATTACATTCTTATCAAAATGTTTATTTGTGTTTGCTTATAATAAATAAAGTAGATGCAATAGGACTAGGGCTGCCTTCATCTTGATTAACGATGCCGGATAAAAACATAAACTTTTTTTATCAGACATCCTTAAAAAAGATGATGCATGCATTTATTTTAGCTGTCCTATGTAACATAATGAGGCTAATAATTATTTGACAGAATAAAATATAATTCCGCGCAAAAGATTCCACTTCTTTTCGTAAGAAATTATTTCTAGGTTTAATTTTAGATTATTAAAAAATTACAATATTATACTAAGCACCTTTTGTATATTAATCAAAATTCAAAACATGAATTTATCGACAACGTTTTTATTTCGCTAATGTCATAACACATCCAATGTCTGTGGTCCTTGGTATAAAAGATACTCTGTGGTCTGTGGAATGGAAAAAAACGACGACAGAGACAAAGAGAGAAAAGGTGGCAATAATACAAAAAAAAAATTATACAGAAAAAAATAAATAAACAAAATCTTATTTTGTACCATGTAATAAAAAAATCAACTGCAAAATTTTTGTTTTGTTTTTTTCATTCCCTTAGTACTTATATTAGTCGGAGATCCCACTGTCCCATCTGTTTTAATGGAAATACAATTTTTATGATTAATCGTTAATAGAGGAATACGTTTTTACCAGGTTGTCTATTAAAATATCGCCAAAAGTATTTTTTTATTAAAATTTAATTATGGAATTTTTGTAAGCAATATCCCCTTGTTTTTTTTTAAATATCAATAATGTCAAATAAAAATAACAAGCAGCTGAAAAGGTTTGGATTGCCACTTTTAATTCGACAGCAACCTCTCGACAACCAGGTGTTAACAGTTTCTGTTGTAATTATACGTTCATAATGTATTTTAATGAACCATGCATCATATTAAAGCTAATGGATTTCGGACTATATGCTTTAATAGTCCTCTAAAGTAATGAAAGTAATGATATGACGACGACAATGAACGGCAGCTCGATTTAATATTACAATAAGCAAGTAAGAATACTAAAGAAATAAAAATTCGTCGAATATCATTTCTTTGTAGATTAACCACATATTGTATGTTTACCTAAGTTACGCTTAAAACTTTAAAAATAACACAATTTTTTATTAAAATCGGTTGCAAGGTAAAATGCTGTCACAATCACACTTGGCAGCTCTGTTATTGCGCTTTGTAGCCGCTTTGTATAATACTTAATAGGAATTTGGGACCCATGAAGATGTTCCCTTCACTGACAAATGCTAATTGCGCATTTAAAGTACTGCAATTAACAATTTCAATAGTGCCGGGTTCGATCTTTAAATGCTCGTTTACTATGAATTTTTATTATTTAATTTAATTAAATAAAATTATAAAAATTATTTCATGTTTATTTTGCAGGTACCGTTCTATTCCTCCTGTTAACAGTTTAATACTTACTGCTGGAAAAGCCCCATATGCTGGTTTTCATTACGCCCTTGAAGGAGGAACTACACCACCTCTACAAGATGTTGCAAGGGCAGTTGCAAACAAAATTAAGTCTGCCCTCCCGTGAGTATTTATTTTGTTCCATTTGATAATGATTTCTTATTTTAACTCAAATACTAGTTCTTAAATTAATAAGTGTATAGATAATTGAGTTTATTGGTATAACCTTTACTTTTACATTAGATAAAATTCGCGACTTATTGAGTATTATTCTTGTGGTCAGAGGCACCGTGTGATATGCCACTCAAAATTTTGGTACCCGTATGACAGAGCCGCTGTGTTATGATTCTTTAAATGAAAAGATGTGCGCTCAATTATATGGTATACTTGCTGTCCCCCGCGATTTTGCATTGCCGCGGAACGGAATGGAAGCGAATTTTTGTATCGAAGTTGTACATAGTAAAATTAATTTTATGTTAATTGTGTAACGTGTAAAATGTCGGCGCAGTGTATGGAATCCGCGGGAAGTGGCGCTAAGGGTGACGTTTTCATTTCTTCCATAAATCATGAACCCAAATATTTCTTTTCCTTTTTTTGATATTCTTCAAATAAGCAATATGAAAATAATATCCAATCAACCTAAACCATTCTTGTCAAATAAAAGATCTAGTAGACTAAATAACTGAATGGTGCATATATAGCTTTAAGGCTCAGTTGCGGGAATTCTCGAGCATTCCCGCGAATTCGTGCGCTTTCTCGTGCGACAAGGCGAAATTTACGCTTCCGTTCCATTCCATTCCGCTGCAATGTAAATTGAACCTAAGTTACTCCTTCTAACATCAGCTATCTGTCAGTGAAAGTTCCGTCAAAATCAGTCCAGCCGTTTCGGAGATTAGCCTGAACAAACCGACAGACTGACTGACCAAAATTTTTAAAATTGTATTTTTGTTATTAGTACATATATAATTTCATATTATGCATTTAGTAAAAAGCTGTTATTTTGACTTTGTATAAAGAGCAATGGCAGAAAAATAGTTGACAACAATTAGTGTCTAGAAATAAGTTATATATAAAATGAGTTTTATTATTTTTCTATGATTTTTCAAATAAAAATGTATTTTAATTAAAGCCACAGTAAAAAACAAACATTTTTGGGAATATCAAATGACTTCAATCATTTTACTCTTTTCAAATGTTGCCATTTAGTATATTCATACTATTTTCGTATACACTTTGTAAGACTACCAACACAACATACAAAATATTTTTATATTAAGTTTTTATTAGTAATAACTGTACTATCAGTAATAATAAATATAAAAGTGATATGGTTGAGAATAAGTTTCTTACAAAGAATTTCCTACAATAATACATTATCTCAATCATAGTACTATGTAACAATTCCATTTAATGTTATGCCAACACTAGCTAAAATAAAATGTCACTGTTTTTTTACCGGCTTTACGGCTCTGGGTTCTAGCCCTTCTGAGAATGTCACTATGATACAAAGGCCCTGGAGCCATGCCAGAAATATACATTTATAGTATGCAAATATATAATAGAGATACAATAATCTAAAAACTCTCAATTATGTATTATGTATTAAGCTAACATCAAACAACCACAGGAAGCATGACTTTTTCCAAGTGACATAGGACATAACCTTAAAAGGTTCAAATGTAAATATCTTTTTTTTTGACGCCTTCTCAGGACAAAATTCTTTGACAGAGTTATTAAGGGACTGACGCTTAACATTTTAAGATATTTTTGGTATATAGAAGCTACCATTTCTTCTCAACTAATTTTATGTATGAAAGTCTGCCATTGTCCTTTCGTACTAAGTAATTAGTAATACAATAATCAAGTAACTTAGATACTAAATAATTACTAAGACACAATCTTCTGTAATGATGTATAAAACGCTCATATATAACATTATGTGTTGTTATTTGCATCAATACGACTATTAATATTTTTACGGTTTACGGTTTAAGAAGAACTTTATTATCTCAAAGAATTTACATTCACTTTTTGAGACTTATATATCTATAGCTTAATATAAATTTGGTTTGGACTATTCGTACAATGTAACAATGCAAATTATAATTCAAACTATAATTTAAACTACCGAAAAATACAAAATGTAGGTGGTTGTAAAAAGTTTCTAGCGACAGCGATGGCTCACTATGTGCAATTTCGACCGCCGACTTCTTTGTGCCGATTACATACATAAGCATTACTGGATGTGACTCGCACAGTAGAGTGATACAGTTGATTAGATTCAATAGTTTAGAGAGAAAAAAAGTCTGATTAAGTATCGGTTATAATAATTTATATATTTAGTAAAATTTGTAATATTTATATTATTTATTATTTCTGAATAACTTAAATAATTATTATTTTTAGAGTGTAAGAAGGAAATAATCTAGATATTTATTTATTTATGTTAGTTACTCAACATGAGAGTATTTATTTATTTAGATAGGTCTTTGTTTAGTCTTTCGATAGATGATACTTAAGTAGTCTTTTAAATGTGTGCATTGATTTTGAGTCTCTAATATCTTTAGGTAATTTGTTATATATTTGTGAACCTTCATACATTATGCATTTTTTTCCGAAATTTGTTCGTGGTGTTATTAATTCAATAACGTTGCTTCGCCTAAGTTTCATTTTGTGTAGTTGTATTCTCTTTGAAAAAGTTGTATTTGTGTGTATATCTTTATTTAAAATTTTTCGTACTAATATACAATTTTGGTACTTGTATGTTTGCGATATGTTCATTACTTTAATTTGTCTGTAAAGCTTATCTGTCGGTGTAAAATAATCAAAATGAAACAAAACTTTTAATAATTTATTTTGAGCAGTTTGTAGTATTGCTAGATTAGTTTTGGCTGCATTACCCCATATTTCTACTAGATAATCGATTTGTGGTTTCACAATGGAATTATAAATTGTATACCGTACAGGGACTGGAAGACAGCGAGCAATACCCTTTATCATACCCGTTAGAGATATCAACTTAGATTTTATTTTTAGAATGTGGGGGTGCCAAGTTAACTTACTATCTAGAATAAGACCTAGATACTTTTCTTGCTCCGTCTTATTAATTTTTATGCCGTCAATCATCAAAGGACTATAGTCACCAATCTTTTTGTTTTTAGCTGCAAAAATCATATAGCTAGTTTTAGTTATGTTGATCGTTAGCAGATTGCTCTGCAACCATTCATTTAGTGAATCCAAATCATTTTGTGCTTCCGATACAATAGATTCAATTGAGTGACCATAATAGAAAAGACACGTGTCATCAGCGTACAAGGTTACATCCCCACTTAAGCCTATCTTATTGATATTGTTTATATATATTAGAAACAGTAGGGGTCCTAAGATAGAACCCTGAGGTACCCCAAACGTTACAGTTTTGCAAGAACTTCGTGTTTTACCTATTTTTACTACTTGTTGGCGATTACTTAAATATGATTTGAAAATTGCTAGTGCAGTGTTAGTTAAACCAATGTTAGCAAGTTTATGTATTAACAACTCATGACTCACTGTGTCAAAAGCTTTTTTAAGATCTATAAATACACCAAGCGCGATTTTTTTTCTATCTAGATTCAGCTTTATTTTCGTTACAAGGTCTACTGTGGCGGATAGTGTATTTGATTTGGATCTAAAACCATATTGTTTCTTACTAAGGAAATTTATTGACGTTAAGAACATTTCAAGTCGATTGTAAATAATTCTTTCGAAGACTTTTGAGAGTACCGGTAGAACTGAGATAGGACGGTAATTTCCAGGATCTAATTTTGACCCAGATTTGTAGATTGGGGTGATTTTGGCAATCTTTAGATTGTCAGGGAACTCTCCTATCTTTAAACATTCATTAATGCAGCCTGTTAATTCTTCTATTATTAAACTTTTGACGCATTTAATTGCTTTAGAACTAATACCTTCTAAGCCTGAGCTAGTGTTAGTGTTTAGGTTTTCAATTATTGCAGAAATTTCATCTACCGTTGCTTGTGCTAGATGGCTAAGTTTTTGCGAGTCAAATCCAGAATCACTCTCATTTTTATTACTGTAGCTTATGTAAGGTTTTTTTATTTGATTTGCTAAATTCGAGCCAACACTGGCGAAAAACTCATTAAAACATTCACAGATTTCATCTGTTTTAGTTAGAATAAGTCCATTTTGATTCTTCAACTTACTTGGGAATGTTGCTTCTTTCAATTTATTATTTGATAGATTGTTAATCAAACTCCACATTTTTACTGGTTTATTTTTGCAATTTATAAATGCTTTAAAATAGTAATAAATGCTTTAAAGTAGTTTGCTTTATTTTTCTTTATATTTTCTGTGACTTCATTTCTTTTCTCTATAAATTTATTTTTTATATCAAGATTTTTGGGGTTCTGTTTATATTGTTTCCACAGAATATTTCTGTTATTTATTTCATTGATTATTTCCTTATTTATCCAATCTTGTCGTGGGGGGTTTAAAATCTTTTGTTTATTAATGATACTCTTTCTTATACTGTCTAACAGCCTTTCTTCTAATTTATCATATGATTTAGATTCATTTGTTTCTTTGTCATTCTGCATAGTTGCAAAAAGTTTCGCGTAGTTTACAGCTTCATATTGTAATTTACTTAGAGGAACCGGCACATACTTTTTAATCTCAATATATATTTGTTTGTGATCTGAAATGGGTGACTCTAAAATAGCAAAGTGAAAATATTTATCATTAAGGTTAGTACATAGATGGTCAATAATAGATTTAGTTGTTTCAATTTCCCTAGTACAAAAATTTCGGTCTATCTTATTTATAATTCTGTAACCATTTTCTTCCAAAATTTCTTTGTAAGCTAGGGTTCCACGATCTTTGGACAGTAGATTAAAATTAAAATCACCAATAATAATTGCTCTTTTATGTTTATTTATTTGTGCAGAATATTCATCCAAAAATTGTTTTATATTCGCATCTGGTTTTCTGTATACGGTTCCAACATCTAGACAATATTTTTCGAGATGAATCCAAAGGAAATGGTTACCATCCAAATTGGTGTCGCTGACGTGTCAGTGCTCCAAATCATTGTGAACAAAAATTGATACACCACCACCTCTTCCTGTGTTTCTGAAATTATAATAGTGGCTGTAGTTAGGGATGACAAAACGTTTTGCTTCTGCTTCGGATTTTATCCAAGTTTCAGTTAAAATAATGATGTTGACAGTATTTTTAAACATTTTTAGTAGGCATTGTAACTCATCAAACTTTCCTGGTAAGACAATGCTGCGTATGTTAGCATAGTATATTTTTAATGATTTCTTATATGAGACAATGTGCTCGTAGTCGTCAACTAGTTGGTAAGTGTTTACTTTGTTATTTTCTGTATTATTACTACAATTTCTTATTGTTTTGAGTTTTTTGAGACGCTTTTAACTATTCTTGGCACATTTTTCGAATATTTAATTGAAATATTTTCTTCTCCCTTTTTTATTCTATCATTTAACTCTTGACTAAGCTCCTTTAGGTATAATTTTTGTTGCGGTGTTTGGTCTGAATATAGCCTTATTGTATCATCATTCAGCTTTGTCTTATTCTTCAATAAGAATTTAACGACATCTTGAGATTCAAAGAAAATTTTGATTGGGCGATGTTTACCAGATGTATACTTACCAAGTCGTAGGATTTTTTTCGGTAAAGGACAAGTTGCATCTATTGTTTTTAATATTTTAATAACTTCACCTTTGTCAAACTCTATTCTATGTTCTTTATCCAATGCTGCATTTTCAGAGATTCCAATGATAACGATATTTTTGCTTCTTTGTTCGCGCTCACTTATTTCTGCCACAATTTTTTCGGTTCCGTAAGATAGGGAAGATGTTCCTGTAGTAATTTTAAAGCTTTTAATTTCGGATTCAAGATGGCAGATCTTCTGTTCACTGTTTTTGTTTTTCTCTAATAAATTTGAAATATCAGTTTTTATTATTTCGTTTTCTGTATTAACATGGTTTATAGTTAATTTCATATCATTGATTTCTTTTTTCAAATCTGCTACATCTGAAGATATTTTTTCCATGAATTCTTTTTGATTAGTGCAAATTGTAGTAAGCATCGACATTATCTGCGACATTTTGTTAGTCAATTCACATACTTCCTTTTTTATTACTGTTATGTCGTCGTTATCTTCTGGTAATTTTCTTTTATTACGAAAAGTGATTATATTAGACTCATTAAGTTGTGAATCGCTAAGTGTATCTCTCATGTCACTTCTTGTAGGCGAGCGTAGAATATTCATCTTATATCTGTGTATCAACACGGTAAGGTATGAAATGACTCACGTAGTAGTGGCTGGCTTTTTCAAACACGCTCCGTCGCAGGTATTGTCACAGTGATTAAACTGATTAGAGCACTATTGCTACAGGTAATACGTTTGTATGTAGCCTGGTAGTTAAGATTAATATTTTATAGAAAAGCAAAACACGTCTGCACTGTACGATGCCCGGTGTTAGTTATTAGTAATACAATAATCAAGTAACTTAGATACTAAATAATTACTAAGACACAATCTTCTGTAATGATGTATAAAACGCTCATATATAACATTATGTGTTGTTATTTGCATCAATACGACTATTAATATTTTTATATATCTAAATTGCTGGTTGGGGCTGGGTTTGCAAAGTTATTCAGAAGTTAATGTCAGACCCATATATGACTACATGTTACATATATTTACTTGGATATAAAACATCTAAGTTACAAATTCAACATTAAAGATTGTAACAAATTGTAACGGTCACGAGATGTCGCTAGTATATATAGTGAGATAAACTTATTTATTACACAATGTTATTATAATTGAGGAGTTGTGTTTTAAATAAAAGTTTATCGGTATCTAAAGTATGTATATTCATAATTCAATACTGCAGTGGATTGCTATTTAATTTATTGCAAGTTTTATTTTTTTTCTACTTGGAATATCCGTAGTTTGGTTTATCTATTTCTAATCTAATTAATATAAAACTTAACTAATATTCCAGAAAGAAACATTAACCCTTATATTTTCCGAACAAATTAATATGCCTCGCCATGAAATCTGTCAATATTTCACCTCATTCCTAAGTGGTGCCGACCTGGTGGCTGAAAAAGTCGTGGATGAGCTCATTGATGAACGTTGTATATGTCTATAAGTATGATTGAAGGAATTGCTATGAAGCTTGAAGTTCTCAACTTTTTCATCGGAGAAGTCTACAACGACAACTCCGACCGTCGCATGTACCGAACTTGTCCCCTTTTCACATTTATGTTTTTGGCGGGATATACATATATACATTTGACGGCTCCGTAGTGTAGTGGTTTAGCAATGAGTTGTTGCGCTGGGGGCCGCGGGTCCGAATCCCGCACGGAACAAGTATTTGTATGGCCTACAAATAATTGTTCCGGGTCTGGATGTTTGTCCTTGTGCAATTTATGTTTATAAACTGCCTCCACGATACAGGACAAAATCCTAGTGTGGGGGTAACGTTTTTAAAAAAAAAAGATAGAAAAACAAACAATACAAATCACGCAGAAATTTGGAAGCGATCCTCTTAACATAATTAATGTTTTTTATTTGCATTTTCAATGGAATATTACCTGTTTTTGATTCCAGTGGCTGGCTTGGTGGAGGGTCAACAGAGAGTATAGTTACAAATACGGAACCTCTTATTCGACCAGAACTCCTGGCGATGCGTAACGGTGTTTATGATAGTCAACGCCACGGCACTTATATAGCTATATCACCCGATCGACGCCTTGCAGCGTTAGCCGACAACTTAGGTCGAGTCGCAGTACTCGATGTTAAAAGCGGATATTTAATTAGGTTATTTAAAGGTTACAGAGATGCTCAATGTGCATTTATTCAGGTATGTTTTGGAAAATACAACGTCCTTAAACTATGTAATCTAAACTTAATCACTATTCGTTTTTTATTTACTACATATGGTTGCAGCTCTGGCGCCATCTAGCTTCTGTTTTAATAGTATCTTGTTGTTAACTTCTTAAGATAAAATTTTATTATTTCTATGATTGTTTATAAACATTGTAACTAATTACTAGTTAAAAAGTACTTTCATACATAAACTATTATTATAGGCAACTATTTTATAGATCGGATAATATGGCAATGACACGCACGCACTATATCACCTATTTATTTATATTATTATCGCAGCGCATACTTTATTGAGTTATTATACTATATATCAGATATAAATAATATACACTGTTAGTTTTCAAAGAGTTGCCATATTTTAAACTTAAGTTCAAATATATAAATAATGATATACCGTTATTGCAGTTTTTGAAAAGTAAATAAGGCTACTACTTTTATTTGAAATTATCACAAATTGAATCAACAACGTTTTTGCTCACCGATCGACCCTTACGAATGTGTGCGTGCGCCCTAAAATCAGTTAAAATAATGCATTACCACGCATTTCGAATTTAAAAGATAAAAAGGACAGAATTTTTGAGATTTTTTGATAAATTTTTCTTCACCATTTGCCTAATTACTTAGTTTGAATCTTCTTGTTATTGCAAAATAACCCTGTATTTTAATGGCTTTTTAAGAGTTCCATAGGTAATTAATCCCGTGTTTATTCCATGTAATGTTGCCATGTTCAGTAGTAGCGATACGTAGCATGTACCATGTGTAATAGCTATGTAAGTATATCCACTACCCCATATCGTCCCGTGGGAGTCGTAAGAGGCGACAGAGGGAAACAAATCAGGAGATGGGCAGCAGCGTCTTCCTTATAACGACTTAAAATAAAATACTGCGGTTCACAACCCGCACGGTAACGGTATAGGTAATCAACTGTTTGTTTCTCAGTAGAGGTAAACAATTAAACATGGAAGGATTAGTTTAGATAAAACACAGGTGACTTATTTGATGTGGTGTGGTAGTTGCGGGACGAAGGGTGGTTTGTTCATTTAATGATTTGCGCTTACCGATAAAAATTAGACTTTCTCGTAAACCATTTTTACTGGAATCGAGGCATTCTATCTTAGTGCTCAGGGTGACAACGCATCTGCATTTTGATTCTTAATCGATGATAGATGTAGATGTCATGAGCCACAGCATTCAGTTACCATCAGGTGGACTGTGTGCTCATTTGGCACCCTTATTCTATAAAAAAATATTCATAATTTTTTGTACCCCTAGTTCTGGTCGAAGATAAATTTTAATGATACCTACATATCCTTTTCTCAATGCCGGAGATAAAAATAAGATTTAATGATGTTGGTTTTCGACATAATTTAAATATGTAGTTATATAAAGTAGTTGCAATTAAGCACCGGAATATCCAAGTTTTTAAAATTAACGTTATCGTAGATTTTCCACATGTTACCATCATCCAACTTAATTAATGTTAGGCGTTAAGACTTGCTCGTAATAAACCATTTTATTTACAGATTTTCGATACTGATAACAAGACACCGCAGCTCACGGTTGTTAAAGATATTCGGAGAGCAATTTTTTTAATTATTTACAATCCCAAGAAGGGTCTCATTGACATACGTCTTATGCAAAGAGGGACTCGAGTTGCAGTCTTTACAGCAACTAAAAATGGTCAGCTGCTCTACAACACTTGCGGATTAGTTGGAGCTGAAAAAAATTATACACATAAAAAACTTAATATGCCCGAATTTCAATGTGTGCTAATTGACCCAGATGGTAAATTGAAAAAATTTAATATACCTTTTTATTATGCCTTAGATGGTGAGCATTTAGAACGCTCCAAAGATTTACATGTGTTACGTGAAATACGTGAGTATTTGAAGAAGTCACAACCGTTAGCTAAAGAATTTAAAAGTAACATTGTACAAAAAGCATCAAATCTGAAGACATTAGAAATTAGGAAACATTGTATGGAGATATTTATTAGGAACTTTGATATAATCTCTGTTGAAGTTGTAACATCTTGTTTGGAAATATTTTGGGACAGTATTGGAAAAGAGAATTTTAATAATCAAATACAAGAAATAAAATATTATTTTGCTAAGTTAGCATTCCTTATTTTCTTTTTTAGAAATATTAATAATGATACTGGAGAAGATATGCAAAATATACTTGATAAGGTATACGACGATTTAAATATATTGCATGATACGGCAATCAAAATTAAAGAATGTGGAGCCATTACAAATTTTCATCTTCTAGAAGATGATAGCTGTATATTAGAAAGATTATTAATTTTAGCTCAGGAAAATAATTATAAAGAGACTCATCCAAGAGTTTCATTTGCGGATGGTAATACAAATGTTTATAAAGAATATATGACTAATTTTGTTTTCGATGCATCTTCCAAAACTATTTTTTTAAAACCTGATATTCCCATTGAAAAACTTGACAATTTAGCTTCCAATATTTTTAAATCAATATTTAATTTAAACGACGTGCAAAACTTAACTAATGTTGTAAGAAAAAGTCGCATCGATCCTAAAGATATACTTAAACTTCTGATTATGCATTTGATAAACATACCATTAAATGAAATTAATATTAAATTAATTGAAAAATTTATAGAAGTTTTATATTATATATGTAACGTTTCTGAAGAAGCAAACATTATAAATTATAATGATATATCGCCATGGTGGCAAAATGTTCGCGATACGTTGGTGGAAATGAAATGTCCTTTAAGAAGTATGATAGTAGCAATGGCTTGTAAAGCGGTAGGGAGCTTATTCGAAAGTGCTACGTCTGAAAGAGAAGATGCCTGGGAATCGGTTACAAAAGAGAACGCTAAATGGGGTATACTAATTGGTAAATTGGAAGATATATCAATTCTTAGTATAACTTTAATGTTTAAAGACACTTTTAAAGGAAAATCGTTGCCTAAGTTACAAGTAGAAGATTTTAATATAAATTTAAAGTATATATACACAAGAGGTAAGGGGTCTGTGACTGAATTGATAGCAAAGTGGCTTTGTAGTATGGGTGTACTTCCTGAGGCTATTATTGCAAATGAATTGATAGACGTAAACCATGAAAGTGATATAGATACAGAGGAGGACACTGATGATACTGATAATTGGTTTTTGGAAAATAACATTGTATATGTTAATGAAAATCAAACGTTATTCAAGCGGCTTTCACTTCTTCGTCGACAGTTTCCATTGAGCACGTTGGCTGACTATATTATCGCTAACATGTGCTGGGAATACGCAATTAATTGGCAGAAAACGATGAAAGCCGACGAAGACTTAAAGGCTGTACTCCATTGCCTAAAATATATTGACAATTTGCATTTGCGACTTGGTTTGTTTTCAATTATTTGGTCGACATATATTAAGCACGTTTTCGAATTAAGTTGTCGTTTAGTTAACAAAGTAGGAAAATTACCAAAGGATCATCTTTGTCTACAAGATTTAGGATTTAACAGTGAAAGCTTAACGAGTTTCCTACAAGTCGTAACACAGTATCTTCAAGAATTTTACCTTTGTTCAAAAGCATCTATTGGCCAAGAGAAAAGAACAATAAGATATGAAAAAATTTGGGAGGAAAGCATGCCATCGTTGGTTGAAGTCGCACAAGATGTTAAGAATGTTGATAATGATATTTTAAATCTTAATTATCAGATCTCTTGCACAATTTACTATCAATGTCATTTTAATATGAAATTCACAAAAGCATTAGATACATTATACGACATAGATTATCAGTACCTTATTGAAGCACTTGTTGGGAATGTCGCTAAAAGAGATATCAACATGAAAGCTTCTGGTAAACTGTTAAACCCCAGAATGAAATTCTTAACAAAATTAATACGGTCTGCAATCGAGACCATCACTTGTGTGAACAGAAATGAAACAGGTTTAGGTTATAACAATGACGAGTGTATGCAGTGGATGGAGAATATCGGCAGTTTGGCTGATTTGTGGAGCATTGATGAGAACTTTGTAAAACATCAATATGTAAGTATCAGTGGCTATCAATAAGATTTAATCTATACCAGTGGTCGCCCGGTGGTTGAAATTCGACCGTAAATAATTAAATTTTTAGGTTTGTATATTAAAGATAGATGTATTTGACTTTCAACTGCACATAAATATATAAAATATATATCTAATATACAAAATATATAAAAATCAACTGCAGTAGGTTAGTCTCGCAAAAACTCGAAAACGGTTCGACCGATTTTGATGAAAATTTTTGTATGCCTTTGAGTGGGTCCCTGGATGGTTTAGATTTAGAATTGGACCCGACTGGCGGCACTGTTGTCGGGATCCAGAAATCACCCGAGCGAAGCCCCAGCGGATTCCTAATTATTCTAGCTTTCTGCAATCCTTCTCCATATACATACATAAACACTCACGCCTGTCACCCAGAGGGGTAGGCAGAGACTACGGACTACACATCCATATGCCTACGCATATATACTCGTTGGTGAAGGGTACTTTTAATTTGGCTCATTTTCAATATATGACCAAGTTGGTCGATATACTTTCGCCAAGGGCGTCCCTTCCCGACTCTACCATTTACCTCTGCCACATAAATTTGCTTTGTCACTCTTTCCTCATTCATTCTTTCTACATGACCATACCTTTCATAATCCTGGCCACAACATCATCTTGCAAATCACACAATCTCACCCTATCATTCAGATTCAGTCCTTACATAGCCCTTCACGACCGCATTTCTACAGCATTTATTCTACTCTCGTGCTTCTTCTGCCACACGCAACTTTTACTAACATACATTAAAGTATGGTAGTAACTACTAAGTAGTAAGTACTAACACAGCGTTGTGAATTGCTATACGTCCCTTTTTGGACACAGTCCGACTTTACACAATAGAATGTAGAGCCCCATTCACTCTATTTCCTGCGTTCACTCGTCGTTCTAAATCCATATCATATCTACCATCCCTGCTAAACACTCATCGTCCCAAATACACAAACTTATCTACTTGCTCGACCAACTTCCTTTTTATTCTTATTTCACAAATCGTTTTACTTTCTTCTCTTTCAAAAACCATGATTTTCCTCTTATTTGCGTTCACTTTCATTCTCCTTTCTTTTAATGATAATATAAGGTTCATTAATGTTAATGTAACCATCATTTGCAACTCTGCCACCGACACTTATAAACACGCTTTCAAAGAATACAGCCATTCTGGTCTAGAGTAGCATATATTCTAGGCTGTTTTGAATGTCCCCTCCCTGGCAGTTCTTACAAATTTATAGAACATTTTCATATTTGCCTGGAAGTTATCCGATATTCTTCTATAATTCTTATCCGTTTTTTCTTGCTTTTTTCTTTTAACTACTTCTTTTACTCTCTTAGTTAGATTTAGTCTTTTTTCTATTAATATCATCATTCATACCGCCAGAATTACCAGTCTTGATTGCTAATAAATCTAGCCATACTCTCTTATTTGCTTCAACTTCCATCCGTATCTCATTATCCCACGTTATTTTTCCTTTCATTCGTTCTTTTACTTACACCACATACTTCAGTAGCTGCGTCCACCAAACCTTAATATTATACCACACAGCCTCCCAAGTCTAAATCATTCATACACAATTCATCCAAACCACTTATACTTTGCTCTGAGTCTACATATGAACTTATCTTTCACACCTTCATCTTGTAACCTCTCTGTTCTGCCGCCAACGTGTGAAAAGACCATTAATTCGTCATAAGACCAAGTAATGATCCGTCCCTACGCTGGACCCCGGTAAACCCTTGTATCTACCACTGCGCTCCTCATTCTTTCGTCCACAATTTTGAAATCTATCATGCTTCTATAATCACGTATTTCCCATCTACATGTACCATATACATGTGAATCTTTATACGACGAAAGAAAGTGTTTCTCAGAAAAAGATTTTCATCATTCTCATTTATATTTTCATCACCACGTTCCCAATATCCAACATACATACATACATAACCAAGCCTCTTCACCCCAACCCTTCCATTAAAATCTCCTGATATAACAATATTTTCATTTCCCTTACATTTTGTTAGCACCATCCTTACCATCTTCCAAAACTGCTCTCAGATATAAGTGCGCTTAGACATGTCTGGGCTTAGACCCCCAGAACAACTTCCATACTCTTTCACACATTGACACATTCTTTCTGAAAAGATGATACCGACTCCCTGATATGTCGTAGGTTTACGTGGTAGACCCATGCTGCAGCTATATTGTGGTTGCAGCATGAATGGGTCGGCTCGACCGCGGAATGACCGCGCTCTCACAGAATACCAGCGTAAAATAGCAGCTTGATGCTGCTGTGTTTCGTATGGCGAGTGTAGAGAACCGGAGACCCTTTTTACTGGAAACGAGGCAATCCATCTCAGTCTTCAGGGGTGATAACGTTCGGAGGCTCTCGGGCCCCGACTGGAGGGGCTCCTAAGCGCATGCTTGGAGAGAGGCCAATTCCCGCTTCGTTGGAAGACGGGGAAGCTGGTCCTCATTCGGAAGCCGGGGCGCCCTGCGGACTCTCCGTCCGCATACCGGCCCGTGGTGCTGCTCGACGAGGTGGGCAAGCTCTTTGAAAGAGTCATTGCAAACCGCCTCGCCGAGCACCTTGCGGGGACGGGGCCGGATCTTGCGGAACACCAGTTTGGTTTCCGCAAGAGGCGCTCTACGGTGGACGCCATCATGCGCGTGAGAGCCCTCACAACGGGGGATGCAGTGGCCAGGGGGGGGGGTTGTTTTGGCGGTGTCTCTCGACATCGCCAACGCCTTCAACTCCATGCCCTGGAGCTGCATTAGGGAGGCACTCCGGTATCACCGGGTGCCGACCTATCTCCGTCGTATAGTCGGGGACTATCTGACGGATAGGGCCGTCATCTACCCCGGTCGCAACGGTGAGTGGAACCGGCGAGAGATGTCGTGCGGGTGTCCCACAAGGTTCGGTTCTGGGGCCGCCCCTGTGGAACATCGGTTACGACTGGGTGCTGCGCGCCGACCTCCCTACCGGCGTCAGCGTAGTTTGCTACGCTGACGACACGCTGGTACTGGCACAGGGGGGGGGGGTCGTACGAGGCGGCGGCGGAAAATATGACACGCGGGGTTGCGATAGTCGTTGAGAGGATCCGGCAGCTGGGTCTTGAGGTGGCTCTGCACAAGTCCGAGGCCATGCACTTCCGTGGTCCTCGGAACAGGCCACCACCGGGATCCTCAGCGATGGTAGGGGGGGTATCCATCGGCGTCGAGTCGACGTTGAAGTACCTAGGACTCGTCCTCGACGGCCGATGGAACTTCGTTGAGCACTTCCGACGTTTGGCTCCCAAACTGGAACGGACCGGGGCTGCCTTCAGGCGGCTCCTGCCGAACCTGGGGGGGCCAAACGCCTCCTGCCGGAGGCTCTACGCGGGGATTGTGCGGTCCATGGCCCTTTACGGGGCCCCGGTGTGGGCGCGTGGTTTGGCGCGGCTTGCCGTCCACCACCTGAACGCGCCCCAAAAGGTGGTTGCCGTAAGAATGGTTCGCGGCTACCGCACGATCTCCCGCGAGGCAGCGTGCCTCCTTGCCGGATTGCCGCCATGGGATCTGGAGGCGATAGTCCTCGCGCGCCTGCACGAATGGCGCGCGGAGGCACTATGCCGGGGGGAAACCCCGCTGCCGCGGCAAGTTGTCGTGCAGCGGACAGACTTCCGGCATGATCTCATGGCGACATGGAGAGAACGACTGTCGCAACCCCGTGCTGGGCACGCCACTATAGCGGCGATAAGAGCCCTCTTTGAGGAGTGGCTTGAGAGACGCCACGGCGTCCTCACCTTCCGCCTGACGCAGGTCCTCACCGGACACGGTGTGTTCGGGAGGTTCCTGCACCGAATCGGGCGGGAGGAAACGCCCGGGTGCTCCCACTGCGAGGATCGACCGGAGGACACGGTGGAGCACACCGTGGAGGTGTGCCCTGCCTGGGCGGAGCACCGCCGTGTCCTCGTAGCGGCGATAGGCGGCGGCGACCTCTCGCGTCCGGCCCTGGTCGAAGCCATGGTCCGGAGCGAGACGGAATGGGATACCGTCACCACCTTCTGCGAAGCAGTGATGCTAGCGAAGGAGGTGGCGGAGCGGGAGAAGGAGAGAGCAGCAGCTTTCCTTCCCGGCCGCCGCGGGAGACGCCCCGGGCGTCGGGGGCTACGTCGTGGCCCCCGGCCACCGTAGGCGCGGGCCTGTGGACGGCGAGCAATGGGTAGCTCGCCGTCCGTCCGTCTAACGACGACAGGCCGTGTCGACGGCGCGTTTTGTTCCACGCGCGCCTCAAAGAGCTGTCAGCAGCGTGAAGGGGCCCGCAAGGGCCGACGCCTGCCGGGGCTGCGGGCTGTTCGAAAGAGATACCGCGGCTCCGGAACGTAAGGGCATTGAAGGAACACGGATGGTTTTTAGTCAGTAAAAGTCTGACACTCCCTTCCGCTCCACCCAGAGCGAAAGGCGTCATTTGATGATTTTCCATCCGCAAAAAAAAAAAAGGGGTGATAACGTATCTACATTTTCATTCCTAATTGAGGATAAATGTAGTTGTCTATGGGTCACAGCATCCACTTACCATCAGGTGGACTGTGTCCTGGTTTGTCACCCTTATTCTATAAAAAAAATGCCAGCTTGGTCTCGTCTGCACCAGACCGGTAAGCGGCATACATGTCAAATGCAGTGGTATCCTTTCCCTTTCGCTTCGTCTCATTTATACTTAACACATCTATTCCTCTATCATACATAATCCTTCTCCATATAATTATTTTATTAAACGAATTGCGACACTAGTATACTAGTATACATGTTACAGAAAGCTCTTAGAAAAGGTCGTACCTTTACAACTGTGAGTGTTGGAAATCTGTAATCACATTTTACTTAATTGTGAAAAAGTGTCTTGTTCTCTTGCCTGAATTGTGGTGAAGCATTGGCTAAAATTGAAATCCACGTCAAATTAAGAAATGCTTTTTTCTATACCTCAGTAACAAATATCAAAAATTGTAATACGTATAAGGTTGGTTGTGCACACCAAACATGTGGTAAGGGAAAAATATTCATTTCCAATATAAGAGACAAAATTTATTACAAAGTATAAACTTTATGCACAATCTACTTGGTTATCGATTATTTACTGCCAACACTGGAAGTTTACTGTCGACACTGGAAGTTAAAAACAATTTTGATCTTTTGATTTTCGATACTGACCTCGATAATGGTCTACTGTGATCCGAAGATCGATCCATAGTTTATTTGTTATTGCGATTAAATTCTAATATTAGATCTGGGCGATAATGAATTATCACAATTAGAAGTTGCATAATAAAAGATATTTGTAACCACTATTAAATCAGTTTTAAAACATTATTAATAACTGATCGGGTTTGCTTTTTTATTCTTCGATCCATCCTACACACAACGAGCTGACGGTATCTTGAAGTCTTACAGTAGTAGTATGTTTGAGTCTTACAGTAGTATGCTTGAGTTTTATCAATTATGGGATCCCAAGCAGATGACAGCACCCATCCATTTTTAACCGACTTCAAAAAATGAGGAGGTTCTCAAGTAGTCTGAATCTTTTTTATGTATGTTCACCGATTACTCAAAGACGCCTGAACCGATTTAGAAAATTCTTTTTTGTTTCAAAGAGTACACTTTCCAGGTGGTTCCATTTAAATTTTATCGATATCGGTCGAACAGTTTTAAAAAATCAACAATAAATTAACTACTTGTCTCTATAGAAATTAGGAATCTACTTTGTAGGAAGACTGGACTTAAAACTTTGAAGTCTGCTCTTATATTTTATTAAAAGTTTAATTTTTTAACATGACTGACCTTAACTACCTGAGAAATTAAGGTGTTATTCATTGATTTCTTAGCTTATGAATGTTATTACGCCAATAAGCTACGCAGTGAATTGTGTCACACACACACGCATATACATTATATTGTATAAGAAAACTGGTCTTTCACTTTTCACTCACAGGATTTTTGTATGAATTATAAAAGATTTTTATTATGCCTTGTATTGCATTTCAAAATTCTATATTTAATTTATAGAAACATTTCTAAAAAAATTAACATTCTAATAATATTTAAATACAGGTTGTGGGATTATACCACATGGGCTTCGATGATCTAGCTTTAAATATGGTTGGATCAGTGGCAGACCCGGAATTGTTATTGGTACCAGTAGTAGCAATTACTATACAGAGGTTGAAACGAAATCTTGAACAGTGCAAAAATCAGCCGGAATGGATTGTGACAGTCCCGCCCCAACTCTACAAGCGCCTTCAAAACACGGTAAGATTATTGGTATCTAATTCTTACGGAAGGGTATTATTATGTAGCAAATTATTTTTTTACAACTTTGTTATCAGAAATAATGTCTTTTTTTTATATTTTACACTTTTCCTTTTAATCCTTATTACAAAATTGTGTCTTAAGCCGCGTATCGATTATGCCCTCCAAGAGGTCGAACATTGGCACGCGTTCCAGCCGTGTGAAATGGGTACTGCCTTGGAACGCGCGCCAAATTGTTCATTGGAACGCACGTTCCAACCAAACGTGGGCAGGCCGTTCCATCCGGTGTCAGTTTTTTACCGCGTATGAAAGTAGTTAAGTTTTGGCGCGCGCGCCAATTGGGATGGTTGTTTTCATCATTCTTGTGTTCGTTGCGTTCCGAGCTATGGATTACCAAAGTTGCCGTAAAGTAATAAAATTATATGGTTCAAAAGAACTGCTGTAGAATAGCAAGTCGTTTTTATTATAATACAGCGCTTAGAGAAGATGCATAGAACTATGAAAGCGGCAGCTGCTCTTACACGACCAACATCCATGTTCAACGGTCAAACACTGGAATGGCGCGCTTAGTTGATACACTATGAATATTTGAGCGCACTGGTCGGCGAGGTCATTCATGGCGCGCGCGCCAGGAGCGTAATTGATACGCAGCTTTACAGTAATATTTAAAAATATTTTTTTATTTCCAACTGTATCAGAAGGACAGTTAGGTTTTCAGTTGTAGGTATATTTTATGTAAAACCCGTGATTAGTAAGTTTGCCTATAATGTCATGATGTTACGTAACGTATACCGGGTTTGACAAAAAACAGGGTTAAAAATAGATGTGAATTATGAAAACATGTAAAAAACAATGAATTAATTATTTTATGTAAAATAATAATAATAATAATAAAAATAATAGTGTGATAGCGGATGTTCACCTGACGTAGTTAATCATTATTATTATTAATAAACCAGCGTAACTGATCATACCGTCATACGGCTAGGTCATAACCACACATTAAAGTGATGTATGTAATTACATGATAACGCTAAAGTAAAGGAAGTTTTGTAAGTCCACAGCAACACCGCCATCTCGATGTGACACATGGCAGCCTCTTCACAAGACGGCCTTATTTGCTTGTACTGGAAGAATTAGCAGAACGTACGACTCTAATAAAACTTTTAGAATGATCGATTAACCTACCGATTAAAGTTAGATCCCTGTGCCGTATAACTAGTGGTTAGGAGGTTTCGAGATCAAAAAGTAGACTAAGAGAAAAATAATAAATAGAAAATGCTCTTGTTACGAAGATTTAGTATTATGTGTTAATATATATATTTAATAATGATTTCCGAGTTGGATGGATTAACTATAACACCAGGGCGTCAAACACTTGAGTTGATGCAAAGCGACCTAAACGTAGGGAATTATAAAAAGTTAAAATTAAGCGCGGTAAAATCCATAAAAATTAGTTTTATTCATGGTGTAGAATTGGCGTAAATATAAGAAATCGGTATGATCTAAACTTCTCGAAGGAACTTATAACTTCAAGAGTTTCTAATCTAAGTCATACGAGGGTGACACTGAAAGTTCTTAGAAAATCAAAAAGTGAACAAACCAGCAAGTTATTAGTATTATTATATCTATTCAAAATAGTGTCTATTTATATAAATACAACGCTGCATCCGATGGGACCACTGAGAAAAGCACTTTGCCCACTCGTCCTTAGGGGGTCTCTTCGACGGTATTTTGAAACGCAACCACTCGGCGTCCATAAACCGTTTTCCTCGAAGTTTTTCTTTTATTTTCGTAAATAAATAAAAATGGCAAGGTCGGGGCTATAAGGCGGGTGACCCAGTAATTCCACGTCTGACATCGCCAAGTAGTCGATTGTTTGCTTGGCGGTGTGCGACGAGGCGTTGTCGTGGTGAAGGAGGATCCTACTGCGAGGTCGTTTCTCCCGAACTTTTTCAATGAAAGTGGCAAACAATTGTCAGAGTACCACTCTGCAGTAACTGTTTCTTGATCCTCTAAAACAATTGTTGCGTAATAACCCGTCCTTCCGAAGAACGAGGCCACGACCTTTTTTTCCCACGGTTCGACCTCTCTTCACTTTAGTTGGCAACTCCTCGGAAGGAAACACTCAAACAGCAGACTCTTAGTTTCAGGATCATGACAATAAATCCAGCTTTCGTCACCCGTAAGTATGTCGAACACAGCATTTGAGTCACTTCCGTTAAATCTTTGAGCCATTTCACGACACCAATCAACACGACGGAGTTTTTGGGCCTCTGTCAAATTATGAGGTATCCACCGGGCACAAAGCTTCCTGACCGCTAAACGTTCATGGAGGATTTTGTGCACTTGACTCATACAGATGCCTAAGTTTGTCCGAATCTGCTGATAAGTCACTCTTTTGTCAGTCTCTATCATACGCCGTACAACACTGATGTTATCTTCAGTCATCGCCGTAGAAGGCCGTCCCTCACGCAGACCATCGGTGAGATTAGTGCGACCACGTTTAAACTCATTAAACCAGTTGTAAACAGTGGCACGAGATGGGGCTTCATCGTGAAAGGCCAATCGAAGTCTATCATAACTTTCTTGTTGACTTAAATGACATCGAAAGTCATAAAAAATCATTGTACGAAAATTTTCTCGCGTTAAATTTACGCTGACGTGGTATAGACAATTTTTAATTTGTCGCTAAATCGTAAATAAATGACAATTTAATAAAATACATGCACAATAATATTGGCAAAGTTTCATTTTCAAAATTTGAACTAATTTTTTTATTATATCGTTTACAAGTGGCCAGTTCTAAAAACTTTCAGTGTTGCCCTCGTATAAATGAAAATTTAGACACACGATTTTGATGAAAGTGGACCCATGGTATATTCATGAAGTGGGAGAAGTGACTGTCGAATAATGTGCGTATCATCATCATCATCATCATCATTACAGCCCTTCACAAGTCCACTGCTGAACATAGGCCTCCCCCAAAGAATGTCACAAAGCACGGTCCTGAGCCACCTGCATCCATCGACTTCCTGCATGTCTTACCAGGTCGTCACTCCATCTCGTGTGGGGACGCCCTACACTTCGCCTACCGGTACGAGGCCGTCACTCGAGAACCTTTCTTCCCCATCGGTTGTCGGTTCTTCGAGCTATATGGCCGGCCACTGCCACTTCAGCTTACTAATCCGTTGGGCTATGTCGGTTACTCTGGTTCTACTGCGGATATCCTCATTCCTAAGTTTATCACGCAGAGAAACTCCGAGCATAGCCCTCTCCATAGCTCGCTGAGCGACCTTGAGCTTTCTCATCCGGCCAGCAGTGAAGGACCACGTCTCAGTTCCGTAAGTCATCACTGGCAACACGCACTGGTTGTACAATTTCGTTTTAAGGTTTTGAGGTATGTCTGACGAGAAGATGTGTCTTAGCTTCCCGAACGCTGCCCAGCCGAGTTGAATCCGTCGATTGACCTCTCGGTCGAAGTTGGACTTACCTAGTCGGACTATTTGTCCCAGGTAAACATACTCGTCAACAACTTCCAGCTTAGTGTTCCCAACAACTACCGGCATAGGTGTGACATGGACATTAAACATGATCTTTGTTTTGTCCATGTTCATCTTAAGACCTATCCGTTGGGAAACACTATTGAGGTCATTGAGCATAGTGCTTAGCTCTTCCAGCGATTCTGCCATAAGGACTATATCGTCGGCAAATCGAAGGTGAGTGATGTACTCGCCATTGATGTTGATACCGTATCCTTTCCAGTCCAGAAGCTTGAAAACGTCTTCCAATGCAGCGGTGAAGAGTTTCGGGGATATGAAGTCACCCTGTCTTACACCTCTCTGCAATTGGATAGGTTTCGTACTCTGGTTCTGTACTCGGATAGCCATCGTAGCCCTACTGTACAAACACTTCAACACTTCGATATACCGACAGTCAACTTGGCACCGCGGAAGGGACTGCAGCACCGCCCAAATTTCGACGGAATCAAAGGCTTTCTCATAGTCCACATACGCCAGACATAGTGGCAAATTGTACTCTTCGGACTTCTGTACAATTTGCCGAAGGGTATGTATGTGGTCTATGGTGCTAAAGCCCTTTCGGAAACCGGCTTGTTCGGGAGGCTGGAAGTCGTCAAGTCTGCGCGCGAGACGATTCGTAATGACTCTCGAAAACAGCACGTAGACGCGGCTCAGAAGGAAAATCGGTCTGTAGTTCTTCAAGAGAGCGTTGTCACCTTTCTTGAAGAACAAGACCACCGCACTTCTGCTCCACGCCTCCGGTGTAATGCCACCATGGAGGACGGAATTAAAGAGCTTCTGAAGGACTTCAAGTACCGGTTTTCCACCCGCTTTCAGAAGCTCCGCTGTAATTCCATCCTCGCCTGGGGCATTACCGTTTTTAAGGTGCTGGAGAGCCATTCTAATCTAGCTCAGACTGACGTCCGGGATATATTCGGAATAGTGTCGGATGAGACTCGCTCTTGGATCGTTACTCACACTTGCGTGTGGCTCCAACGATGACGTGTACAACTGCCCATAGAACCTCTCAATCTCACTCAAAATCTCAGGTGTCCCGGAAACGATGCTGCCACATTCTGTCTTCAGCTTTGACAGTTGGCTCTTTCTGGCAGACAGATCTCTGGCAAAGACTTTGGAGCCTTGGTTCCGCTCGATCGCTTCTTCAATACGAGCTGTATTGAAGTTGCGTAAGTCCCGCCGCATGCATTTGGAGATCTGTCTGTTCAGATGCCTGTATGCTGTCAAGTCTGTTGAAGAATGTAGCTTCATCTCCCGTCTAACAGCCATGAGATTAAGAGTGTGATCGGAGAGTTTTTGTGTTCTTCTGCGGCGGGTCTTGCAGAACTTAGCTCTGACCGCATGGACAGTCTCCACGAGCTTGTCATTCAAATCGTCCACTTCATTGCAGTCTTCTAGGCACTGAAAACGGTTTTGTAACTCGAGCTGAAAGGTTTCGGGACTTTGGATTAGAGCACGAGGGGGACGGAGCGTTGACTTCATTAGACGAGACCTCTCCAACTTAACGTTTAGGTTCAGTGTGCCTCTAACCATTCGGTGATCGCTATCAGTTTTCACCCTCGCGATCACGGAGACATCACTGAACAGTTGTCGTCTGGTCGTCATAATGAAGTCAATCTCATTTTTTGTCGAACCGTCGGGGCTCGACCAGGTCCACTTCCTGTGGGGCCGCTTCTGGAAGAAAGAGTTCATCATAAAGAGTCCCTCTTTCTCCATGAAGTCGGCCAGCTGCTGGCCCCTTGGGTTCCGTTGCCCTATTCCAAATTTCTCTACTTTCAGCTCACCGTTCTCTCTTGTGCCTAGTTTTGCGTTGAAGTCTCCCATTAACACCGTATATTGGGTTTTGGAGGAATGCATGGCTCTAGAGATATCCTCATACATTTCCTCCACCTCCTCATCGGGGTGTGCCGAGGTTGGTGCGTAAACCTGTATGACCTTCAGCGAATACCGTTTGGTGATTCTGAGTATAAGGTACGCAACCCTCGTCGACACACTCCCGATCTTTACAACGTTGTTAACGAGAGACTTGTGGACGATAAATCCGACACCTCCTTGGGACAGATGGTCGCCCTCCCGGTGATAGAGCAAGTTGCCGGAGTCGAGGATTACCGTGTCCTCCCCCTCTCTTCGGACTTCGGATAATCCTATAATATGCCAGCGCAACTTGTCTATCTCTTCTTCCAGCTCCACAATCTTCTCGTCAGTCCTCAGGGTGCGTGCGTTGTACGTTGCCAGGTCGAGTCGTCTAAGGTGGCAACCAAACCTCCACCGGAGATTCTTAGCACCCCCTGCCCCGCCGTTACCATGGTCGCCACCGTAGCCAGGAATAGCGGGGCCGCCGGGGACTGGGGGCCGTTTCTTTGTTACTGTCATTCATAGGGGGGTATTTGCCATAGTTGCCACGCTTGGCGAGCGGGTTGGCAACCGCAGTTTTTTTATTGTTAGTTTGTTGTTATCAAGAAGATGCTGCTGCCCATCTCCTGCCTGTTTCCCTTTGTCGCCTTTTACGACACCCATGGGAGGATATGGGGTAGTGGATATTCTTGACCGCCACTACACGGCTCTGTGCGTATACATACTTGAAATTTTGTCTGTTACTTTGTAACCTTTTGTAGCCATTTAGGCTTAACTAATTGTGAAATGTGAGGTGATTATTGATTCGTATATCTCTTCGGAGTAGCCATGGCTATATTATTACATACTGATGGTAATAATACCAATGCACTAATCGCAAAAAAAATATGGTTTTTGCTTGAAGTGCATTCTGAGAAATGTGATATTTTCTTATTTAATAATAGATATCTGTAATTTGTTTTTCTATTGTAATATTATTTTATTGTATTTCAGACTTTGGACGTTTCGATATCAGCGAATCCCTCACTAGCGACGACAGTGTCAATTTTACAAAAGCTTTTATCACAGGTTGATACAAAAGTGTCAGTAGAGACATCGGCAAACTTCCAGAATATAAAGTTGGCAGAACTGATTGTGGAAACTTGTGAAGTGTTGATACGAAGAAATTTAGAATAGAATAGAAGGTCGGCAAATGTGCAGTCTTAAGTTCTATGGCTATTGAATAATATTCTGAACATAAATAATATAGTATTTAAGATTTTGTTTAAGAAATCGTTATAGAATTTTAATGTAAAATACATATATTAATAAAATATTTTATTGTTATTGGTTATGGATAAAATTATATTATGTATGGATATCAAAATATCCAATATATTAAGTAATGTTAGTGTTAACACATTACTTGCTGAATTTTTTGGCGAAATTTATGCAAATTTGTATTAAATAGCTCACTAACCCTGTGCGGCAAATGCTCTTGCGCGTTCAATAAATATTACGTGTGGCGGTATGAACGCATATGCGCGGTTGAAGAAAGTCTACACAGTGCGACTGGCTGCAATAGTGCGGCGCGGCGTTCAATACTTTGTCCAATTGCGGCACGGCGCTTATGTGAGTTTGAAAATTTTCGAGTTTTATGACAGTCATAAAACAATTACGGTATATCTAAAGGTGGGTCCACACGACAGTTGTTTTTGTAACATTTTTATCTCTACTAGGCCGTAATGTAATCTAAGAATCAAGCGTTACCTGTTTTTTTTCTCTTTTGGATGAATGAATGGATATATCGATGCTGGTTAAAAATATGGATACAATATATTATATATATATATATAATCAATTATTTTTTCACTTGCTCATCAATAGCCGGGCGAACTAAAAACATTAGTTTCCAAACATGTAGGCTAGGTATGGTAACCATCAGTTCAGTCTAAATCTCTAGGTCAAAATTAAATAAAATACACAATTGTTGCAGTTATTATGACACTGGATAGTACTAAACTCATTGCATGATAATTTATATTATATATATTGTTTTATATTTTATCTTCCCATCAGCCCACATCTCTGTAACCTGTTTTTAGTCTGTATATATATACTTCTGGCGCAAGATGGTTTTAATATAATATATCAGGAAATATTATATTCTTTCTAGCATTTACCACAGTAGTCTGAATTCTGGACTAAGTATGTCTTCATTTTTATTTTAAAAAAAAAGCATCACATTTGTTACAACTGCACTTAGTAGTCTGTGGTTACATGTTACAACTTGATAATTAACAAATGTGATAGGCTAAAATATAAAAACTAATCTTTCAAAAATTCCAAATACAAATTCAACTGAATAGTGATAACTCTGCTCCAGTGTAGCGCGGGGGCAAATCTTTTTAAAAGCGATCTCTTTTTTTTTAAAAAAGCGGAGTTTTCAAAAATATTATAATAGGTACATTGCTTTTTTTATAACTGGCTTTAGGGCTCTGGGTTCTAGCCCTTCTGAGCCTGAAGTTACAATGTATAATTATCCACTGCTTCACAATATGTTGATTCATCACATTGTACAGCTTTGGGAGATTTTGATGGCAACTTAAGCCAGCAGACAGCTGACCGTTAGCGATGGTATCTCAAGGCGTAAGCTGACAGACACCTTATCTTGAGAATCACATCACTATCAGAGCACTTCTTTCACCGTTTCCACTAATAGTTTACATACGTAGACACTTAATATACAAAATCGCACCACTTTTAAGTATCAAATTCCAATTCAAACCATTATTTAAACAATAATACAGGAGTAGCTATCCGCCGCTGATCAAGAGGATACTACTACTACGCAAAGAGTTTAGTATGGCCACTTCTTATTAGTTTGTGAGGTAAACCAAACATTGAGGAGCATTGCATCAACGGTTCTCCTTTTTAATAAATTATTTCATTTGGTAAATGGGGCAAGAAGCACAAAACACTAAAGCCACATGGGGAAACATTTAAGAAAAGTGGCTACTTCAACATCTGTTGAATATAATTTAATATTTATACCTTTGTGGCAAAGAATCATCAGTTATTTCGATAAAAATTGGAACAATCTAATTTTTACCGAAGTAACTGACTGATGATTCGAGATTTCTTTGAAAACTCTTATAGTTACAAAACCATAAGAATTTTCAAAAGTTGTGGCAATTCAAGGAGGAAAGAATTTGCCTCCAATGACAAAAAAGCACTTGTAAAACACTGAAAAATAAAAATAAAAGACTTAATAAATATTACTGTATTTTTCCTTATACCTAAATGAAAATTATTAGTCGCTTAAATTTATGTACATGTTCTCATTGTGTACACGTACATAAATTTCAACCAATAAAGACAAATTTTCAAAGTTTTAGTTGGATCCTATTTCTATTACGGGCTTTTAGGCTGAAGCAAATACATGCCTTTGCCTTAGATTAATTTAAAAAACTAAATGTAATTTTCAATTCTTGAGCCTCGCTATTGACCAATTTTTAGTAGAGTGCGCGCGGCAAAGATTGGAACTAATCGTGTACCGCCATCTTACTGTTTTTGGCAGGTGTCAAAACTGAGTATTAGGTGGCGTGTTTTTATTCATTTTTGCAGTAAATAATCGTTATCATTATGCCGAAAGTGGTTAAAAGTGCTTGCATCTTGAAGGTCAAAGGTGTACCGTTACAGTAACAGTACCGTTTTCCAAAGTTAAAGCCCACGATGCATATTTGACAGGTAATTTTTAGGGCTGCCATAACAATAAAACTCCCCAATTTTCTCGATTTGTTCGTTTTTAATTTACTCGTGTCGTTAGCATCATATATTTATAATGCATTGTTTTTATTTTGTTTTAGGTGTTTCTGAAACGGAGGATAAAACGATTTAGACGATTTTGATATGGGCGCTATAAGGCATTTAACTCAATCGTTTTATGTAGTTAAGAAAGAGATTCCTACCATAAATAAACTTTGGTTGGAATTGTAAGCTGATATTGATTTTAAATATGGCAGAACATAGTTGAGGAGTATTTTAAAGACTATGGGCTACAAATACAAAGGTGCTAGTCTAAACGAAAAGTATTAATAGAACGCAATGATATTGCAGCTTGGAGAGCAAAATATTGTTACGAGCTTGGGGTTCGAGACAATTAAAAACTGCCGATTGAATTACCAAAATTGACACTTGACACGAGTACATATCGGTCCCGAAATTTCTGGAAGGATCTCGACTCTCTTAGTTCTACTACTCGACACTAGAGGGCGCTAGTGTAACTAGTGTTGCCATGTACAAGACATTAATAGTGGCGCGCAATACTTTCATTTACTCGACACTAGGGGGCGCTAGTGTAACTAGTGTTGCCATGTACAAGACATTAATAGTGGCGCGCAACACTGCCCCCTCCTAAGACATGCCCGTCCCGAGCGTTATTGGCCCCATAATAACGCGCCAGTCGATCCACATGGACAATCTTAGGAGTACCTCTGGCACCTTTCTGTATCCGGTAGGTTACATCATTGATCCTTGTCACAATCCGGTACGGTCCGTCCCATTTAGCTTGAAGCTTAGGAGATTTCCCTTTGCTGCGAACTGGATTGTGTAACCACACTAGTGAACCTTCATCAAACCCCTTGTTGTTCATTTTGCGGTCATACCGTGTTTTCATCTTCTCAGACGTTTGCTGGCCCGTCTGTCTGACGTGCTCATAAATGTCATTCATTTTGTTCCGCAAGTCATTTGCATAATCGGTTATACTGCGTGGGGCATCAGGTGGTATTCCGGTGATCAGGTCTGCAGGCAGCCGCAATTCTCTCCCAAAGTTTGCGAAAGCTGGTGTCACTGATGTACTTTCGTGAACAGCGCTTCGATATGACAACAAAAACGGTTGTACCAGGCGGTCCCATAATGAACTGGCCTGATATAGTTCAACGCGACATGTCGCTACATGTTGTGTTGCATTAAATAGTACGTTTATCGTGCACTTAATATAAGAAACATGCATCGACATGAAATGCTTAGTCTTAGTTTAACAGGCATTTGAATAACGAGAGTCGCGTATTTTTTCAAAATGTCGAAAACTGAGTATCGAAGTGTCATAAAATTTCTGTTTAAAGAAGGTTTATCCCCTGCCCAAATAAAAGAACGATTGGATGGCGTGTATAAGGAGTCTGCCCCCTCCTATAGCACAGTGAAAAATTGGGTGAAAGAGTTTCGCCTCGGGAGAGAAACCGTCGAAGACTTTGGCCACGACGGTCGACCTGTGGAAGTGCTCACTCCTGAAACGATTGCTCTTATCGAAGAGGAGGTTCTGAGTGACCGCCGTTTGAATATTAGAGAAATTGCAGCAAGGCTTGGGCTCTCTAAGAGTACCGTTCATCGCGCGATCCATGAACATCTTCACATGAAAAAAGTGAGTGCAAGATGGGTACCGAAACTTCTTTCAGCGGTACAGAGACAGGAAAGAGTGCGCGGCGCTTCGGAGTTTTTGGATCTTTGTGGCGAAAATCCAAAGACTGTGATCGAGCGGCTAGTGACTGGTGATGAAACTATGATCTTGTATTATGATCCACAAAGCAAGCGCGAGTCAATGGAATGGCGTTATAAGGGTGAAAAGCCCCCTAGAAAGGCAAAGGTGCAACAATCGACTAAAAAACTGATGTGCACAATATTTTGGGATTTTCAAGGCATTTTGATGGTGGATTTTAAAGAACGTAATACAGTCGTGAACGGCGAATATTATGCTTCTTTAATATATAAATTACGAGACAAGATAAAGGAAAAACGAAGAGGCAAGCTGTCTAAAGGTGTCCTGTTGCTCCATGACAACGCCCCTGTTCATACCGCTGGTGTTTCGAAGGATGCAGTTCGTCAATGCGGGTTCACAGAAGTTCAACATCCACCTTACAGTCCAGACATGGCCCCGTCCGACTATTATTTATTTCCAAATTTAAAGCGGGACTTAAGAGGAAGAAAATTTTCAAGCGATGAAGAGTTGCAGGCGGCCGTCTTCAGTCATTTTGAGGATAATAAATGTGATTATTTTTATAAAGGTTTAGAGATGTTGATTCACAGATGTCAGAAGTGTGTTAGTATTCATGGTGATTGTATTGAAAAATAAAATTGGTTTCGTTTCATTTCCTTCATTGGTTCATAGTTAGGCCAATTCATTATGGGACCGCCTACGT